AGGCCCAGAGTTCAAGACCTATGAAGACTGACCAAAACAAAACAAAACACCATAAACCATCAAAAAGATTTGCTCATTCATGTCTGGTTTTTGTTATGGCTTTCATCTTGCCACTGTTTTCTTCCCCCTAAGGTAACAGTCTAATCAGGGGAGGAGATAAATGAAATCCAGTCTCAGGAACAAAATTTAACTTGTGCTAGGATGTTTTCTTCAATCCAGTACATGGCTTCAGTTCTTTATTGATAAATCAGGAGAGACCTTTGAGGGATACAGAGCTAAACTGAGGTGTGGGAGCCAGCTTAGGAAGATTCAGTGTTTTCCAGTATTGGAAAGTGTCTCTGTATTCTCTGGAGAACTCATTTATATGCCCTAATGGCAGAACAGGTTATTTTCTTCCTCAGTTTTTGGAGGCAGGAAACAAATTTTTCCCCATTTCTATTGAAGTTAGGCTGATGTTGCTCAAGGCTAGACTAAGACAGTCTCTTTGAGCAATAGTACAGATGTTAGGGTTAGATCATTCTGACAGTGTGAAAAGGCCAGACCTTGTGGATGTCTGTCCCTCTCCCTCACCAGATTGGTAAAGCTTGACATCCTTCATCCTCCTCTTCTTAACTCACCCACACAGCTCCTAGGCCTCTTCTAGCTCCAGTAGGGGTGTAGAGAGGGAGGAATATCGATGGGACTGGATAACCCTGATGAAGAGTAAAGGTGATCTTCTATGAGTGCTGAGGGAAAAAGAAGCACTCAGCTCCTTTGGAGGTGAGAAGTTCTTTGACCTGATAGGTCTAAAGAAGGCTCACCATCTCAGGAGTTCTGGCTGTGGGTGAATCAGTCAGGTGAAACAAGTTGCATGAGGTACATGAGCCATCATCAACTCCCATTTGAGGATTCCTTTTTGTGTTCTTTTTTTTTTTTGTCGGTTGTGAGGCTTGAACTCTGGGCCTAGGCTCTGTCCCTCAGCTCTTCAGCTCAAGGCGAGTGCTTTATTACTTGAGCTACAGTGCCACTTCCAGTTTTCTAGTGTTTATTGGAGATAGGAGTCTCATGGACATTCTTGCCTGGGCTGGCTTTGAACCACCATCCTCAAATCTCAGCCTCCTGAGTAGCTAGGATTATAGGCGTGAGCCACTGGTGCTGGTGATTCCTTTCTTTTTATTATATACATTAGTTGTACAAGAAGGGTTTCATCATAACATTCTTACACGTGTGTGTGTGTGTGTGTGTGTGTGTGTGTGTGGAGTTTTTCCTACTTCACCAAAGCCCAGGCAGGGCACATAATCATGGATATGCATCTCTCTGGGAGCACCTATATCCCAGCATTAAGGGACGTGCCATGTGTCCATTGTCTTTGTTTCCTCTCAGTCTGGCCCACACTGGAACCCAAATGGGCAAGGTGTCTAAAGCCTCCCTCACCAACAGTCATATGGTACAATGGTGGGCTAAAACTTATGAGATCTTTTATTCAGGTTCTGAAAATTCTTTTCCAAGAGTTCATTGAAATCTCAACCTATCAAGTTCTCTAAAAGAGGGGGTGGAACAAAAACAGCTTTTTATATTACTTGAAGGTAGAGAGGGGAGAGGGAGAAATAGGAAGGACGGAAGGGGTGAAATTGAGCAAGATGCACTATACTCACAACCAGACTTATGACATTGAAACCTCTCTGTACAATTAATTAAATAATGCTTGCTGGGGGCTGGGAAGGTGGCTCAGTGGTAGAGCACTTGCCTTGCATGCCTGAGGCCCTGGGTTTGATTCCTCAGCACCACATAAGCAAAAA